CCCAATTGTTAAAACATGAAAAAAACCCAGTGCATTAAAATATATGCTGCAACACATAAAATGAAATGCAGAACACATAAAGTGTGTTAAATGCATATTCAAAATGAATGTGTGAGCATCGTGTGCACAGATCCCTATTGTTGCACTAGTTTCAATTACAAGCTGTAATGATGTTAATATTTTAAGACCATTTATTGAACGTAATTTAGTGTTGTGGTAGTAATTTTTTAGCAGTAAGTATGTTTAGACATCCATTAACATGATATAATTGAATTAGTGTGTGGTGGAAATCTGCTGACCTTTTCTATAGCTCTCCTGGGAATATAAAAAGGCCAGTACTTGTACCTTGGGCACTGTGGCTTTACAAAATCAGTCTTTTAAAAATCCTATTTTGGTCTTCGTATCCATGGCTAGTATTTCTTCTGAGTAATGTTACTGATAGAAACACCCCAGAGATGTTTACTTGTGCTGTGTTCCAAAAGAGAAACCTTCATACAGTTTAAGTCTTGAAATAATTTAGGGCTGGTAATGATTCAAATTTTCATGTTCGATTAATGAAATTTTTTTTTAATCGATTTTAATTTCGATTTCCCACCCCATGTGCACATGTCAAGCTGCAAACAATCTTGTATGTGTATAGGCTCGGCTAACAAAGGGAAGAGGGGGAGGAGTCCAATGACGTCACAGACATCGCCGTCACCGGACTCCTCCCCTTCCCTTCGTTAACCGTCACAGACATCGACGTGACCGGACTCCTCCCCCCCCTTCCCTTCGTTAGCCCACAGAGCCACTTGAGGAAGGGTGGAGCAGTCCGGTGACGTCTATGTCCATGACGTCACCGGATATGCAACGGAACTCCCGGAAGCCGGCGGAGAGGTGAGTACCGATCAAAATAAAGGATGGTATTTATTTAATTTCCTTTATCCCATTAAACGCTTAGTTGAAAAAATTATCTGCCAACTAATCGATTATGAAAATAATCATTAGTTGCAGCCTTACTATGCACTATAGGTAGCTTAAATTACATTGGGGTGCAGAATCACAAATGTCACTGCAGTTTTCTGTTTTTGTTTTTCTGTTTCATTTCCAACATTCTGCAGGTAACTTTCAAAGGTTTTCCTTTTATCATACATCTGATATTTATTTTCTTTTCAATCGCTTCCTTATTGGATCCCAGACCTTTTGGGCGAGGGTGAGTAGTTTATTGCTGTCTATTTGTGATCATTTTCTTGATCCTCAGGGCTCTTCTTCCAGTTAACTTTTCCCATTCCTGATTCTATGCAGACTCTCTCTCTGCACCTTCATCTCTTATCTCAGAGGCTGCTCAGCTGGATGACCCATTTTCAGCTGAGCCCAGTGCCCTTACTGCTGCTGCTCCCACTGAAACTCCAGCTCCTTCTGTGTCTCCTGCACCTGCGTCTATTAGTACTACCAGTGCTGAGGTTGATCTGTTTGGAGGTTAGTAAGGTCTCATGATGTTCTGTTCTGTAAAAGTTTGCAATTTAATTGTATTGCACACCTCCTTTTATGAGAATTACACTTTTTATAGTATATTATCACAATGAATTAATATACATAGTAGTATTATGTTCTGGCTGTATATGGCTAGCCTAAGGACTGTTGTATACAAGCATTTACTTGCATCTGAGCTGCTTTTCTTCTGTATGCATGTCACTGAATGCAAAAGTTACTCAAAACAACACAAACAAGCACAATTCCTTGATCAACTCTAAATACAAATAAAAGTAACCAGAGACAGATTTATACTGCCTACCTCCCTAGGCTAGCTGCTTGCGTGACGAGCGCTCTACCTTAGTTGATTGGCTATGCTCGGTGTCACACTATCAAGAACAGATATTGGAACAATACAAGTTATGATGAGGCTTAGGATAGAGCGACTGAGACACAGATTGCCTACTGTGTCATTACATCTTCAACAAATAAGTAGAACATTTGGGCTAACTATCACCCTACTCTAACTGTTCCGTTCTAAGTGTATGAACCCAAAGTGTGTGAACCGTAAATACACCCAACAAAAGGCAGGGACAGCGAAAAGGGGACCTGGCTGAGTTGCAATGGCATGCAGGTTAGCCGGCTGGAAGTATATATATATATATATATATA